AGAGGAGGGTCCATGTCGGGAGAGAAAAACCAGGGTGAAATGACTGGACAGAGTAGACATCACCCACTCAGCAGGCAGGTAGGTCTTCTACAAGACACAGAAGACGCTGAGCATTAAGTCAGAGACACTTCCAAGGAGCCCAACTCCCTATTCCAGGGCCCTAGATGGTGTCTGGTAAATTCATTTTTGGATTCATTAACATCTAAAACAGACCATTGCCAAGGTCTCACCTCGCCTCCTGCACCCAAAGTGAAAAGGAAGCCTAGAGCCTAATCACACATTCTTTTCCCTGGACTGGAAGTTGAGACAAAGCTCTTGACCAGGGAGACGCTCCCTAAACAGACTCAAGAGCGTTAAGGCCCAGAGGAAGCTGACACGTGGCCACTCTCCTGCTATAATTTAGTGACCCCTATAATTGGTCTGATGACCACAAAAAGCTGACCGTGTGTAGGTTACTCAGGACAGCAGGGGCACCATTCGAAGCTGGAGTACCAATCATTGCTCTTGCCATCACAATCTGCCGGGTACCGTGAGCTGAGGTCTCGGCACTGCTCCCTCCCTCTGGGCTTAGAACTGAGCATCAACATCCTCCTTAGTCCAGTGACTTGCTCAAGATGGGGAAGAACTCCACTCCAGCAGTTCTCCTCTGCTCACCCAGGACTAACAGCAGAGGCCACCCCTGGGAGACCCACATCCAAACAAGTCTGTCTCTTTCCTCCTCTGCAAATGCAGTGCCTATGGGAGGCCACGGGCAGGTTGCTAGTTCCTTACCCACACAGCCGATGGTCACCACCCCGTCCTTGTAGCGCTCCTCGGAGGGACCCATGGGCTCCATTGCTGAGTCAGTCTGCTGCTCCACCACGACTGCCTGTCCATCCTCCTCCTCTTCCTCCTCTCCGGAGCCATTGCCCCAGGAGGCCCCGGCCACATCCCTAGCAATCTTCTCCCGCCAGCTGCTCAAGTCCACTGCTCAGAAGGAGAAAATCAAAGTGATCCCTCCAGGGCCGTAGTGGATGACAGCACCAACTGAACCCTGTACAGCTGATGCCACCAGCATCCCCCAAGGAGCATAAAGTGCCAACCTGTACAAATGTAGACCAGAGAATCTCCCCATCCTTCACTAGACCCCACTCTGAAGTCCCACACATCTCTCCATCCACGTTTCTGAGAAGACCCAAGGCAGCAAGCCATAGAGGCTCCAAAACCTCACAGGCTGCTCCGCACGCCACAACCCTCCTCCATGCCACAAAGGGCTGCCCTCTAGAAAGGCAAGGCCTGAAACATGCCCATGCTCCCTCAAGGACCACACACCTTTCCCTGCTGTGATGGCATCACAGGCTCTCAGCAACTGCTCTGGCCCCAGCGCCCGAGTCCATCCTCTCCCCCGCCTCCGACTCTTCTTCAAGACTGAGGTGGAGAAAGGTAAGCACATGGCTTATGAGCTTCATCTCCTGCCACCCAGGGGCCCAACATCAGGATCCCTGGCCAACAGCTGCTCTCATCTCCCCTTGTCCATGCCACCCACCTCACTCATGATACCCTCTGTCACCCACTCACCACTACCAGGCTCCTGTGGTGTTCGGGGATCCCGAGGGAAAGAGGTGAAGAGGACGATATGGAGCTGGGGGTAGTACTGGTGAAAATAATGTTTCCAGGCAACCACGAGAGCAGGCGGGGCCAGATCCACCTTGTTCAAGACCAACACCAGGGCCAGCCCGAGTTCTCCAGTCACATACTCATAAAGTGCAGGGGGGAAATTCACAACCTGCAACAGAGTTGGGAAGAAGGAGATGGAGCAATGAGACATGAACCCAGAGTTCTCTGGCTGTAGCTCCCCATCACCAGGCATAGCAAAGAGACAAGGCCCTGGCAGATGTAGATTCTAGGGTGAAAACAGTTACCCAAACAGAACAAGGAAGGCAAAGCAGGTGTTTGTGATACTGGACAAGTCTCAGGGCCTTCCTGCAGGTCATGAGAGAGAAATGAACAGAAAAATACAGGACACGGTGACACCACTGAGGTGGTGGCCGGGTCAGCAACAGGACAGGACTGGAGAGGAAGAAATACCTGTTTCCATGTGCACATAATTGTGTAAGTGTATACACATGCACAGAAGCATGCATACAAGTATATGCACATGTGTTACGCATATGATTGTATGAGCATACACATGCACACGTGTATCTGTGTGTGCGCATTCATCCAGGACCTCCAACCTAAATGCCCCCCACAGACCTCCCTTTCTCCACTGAAGTCAGAAGTCAGGATTCACAGGGCAGTCCAGGAGCAGTCCACAGCCACACCCACTACCCTAGCACTCCAGGTGGGGGCTGTGGCGATGATGTCGGGCTAGAGATGAAATAAGGAAGAAAGACTCCTTTGGGCTCAGCCGGAAAGCCCCCACCTGCCTTCAAACCCCAGGAGCTCCACACTGGGACTCTCTACTGGTCTAGTTCTGGGGGTCTGGGAAACAAGACATGCAGTTTTCATGAGGGTTAACTACAGAGAAGGGTCAAGCTGGTGAGGGGGAAATGAATATAAAACTGAGTTCCTCAGGCTGGGGTCAGCTAAGCAATGAAGTTTAGCATGTGCAAGGCTGTGTCCTATCCTCAGCACAGCAAAGGGGGAAAAAAGAGAAAAACACCAAGTTTCTGACTCAAAGTAGAAGGTGCTAGAAGCGGGAAGTTTTGAAAGGAAGACTGCCCTTCATCCAGCACCGGAGAGCCAGAGGCAAGAGGCTCCTCGAGGCCACGTGACCTTGGGGCATGAGACCCTTTCTCAAAAAGCAAGGTAGATGCCACCTAAGCAACATCTCTGATCAAAAAGCAAGGTAGATGCCACCTAAGCAACATCTCTGATCAAAAAGCAAGGTAGATGCCACCTAAGCAACATCTCTGAAATTGACCTCTGGGCTCCGCACAACCACATATTCCAGGAGCGGAAACGCACACACATGCACACACTGAAAATACTCTTTCCCCCCTCCAACTCCTGCCTCTGACCCTCTCACACAAGAACCTTCCTCCCTCTTTCCCCTAGCAAATCTTTCCCACAGACTCACCGGATGTCGGATGTCAGTGATAAGCAGGACAATGTCGGACATCTCTAACACACGCCACAGCTGCCTCCACGTCTGAAGACAAGATCAGCAGAACATGACCCAGAGTCCCTCTCCCGATGACCCCAGGTCCCTTTATCTAGGCTCACGGCATGCCACTCCCGTCCCCACTCCACAGTCACCTCCAGATTGTGCTCAAAGTAGCTGAGCTTCTCCGAAGTGTAAGCCCCGTGTATCTTCCCTAGGTATTCCTGGAAGCTGCGCTCCTCCTGGCTCATCAGCTGTTCCTTGGACATCTCATAGCTCCAAGGAGGACGGCGGGGAAAGTCCAGGACTGGGAGAAGAGGAAACACAGCAAAGCATGCCGACTCTGGGACGCATTCATGCGCCCCACAATGCTGCTTTTCTTGCTGCCAGCACTGTCCCAAGCCGACGGGGAGCACTCGCGCTCACTCACCTGAGCCAGGCTGGTAGACTTCCCGGACGTCCAGCTCCAGCACTTCCCCACTGACCGGCTGCAGCACTTGTTCCCTGGCCGCTCTCTTTCTCCTCTCCACCTCCTCCCGACTATCCCGTTCAAAATGCAACCGGTATCTGAAATGGAAGAGGGACCACATATCCAGGGGGTCCTGGGACCACGGTGTCGTCTGCTCCCCGCCTGGACAAACAACTTTGCAAAGCCTCATCTTCGGAGCTGTTCAAATTTCCCCGAAAACAAACTCTGGAAGAGAGGGCTAGGGCGGAGAAAGCTGTAGCTTCCGGCCCACCCAGGTCAGCTCCCAAGCCTCCATCAACATCTTTCCCCCAGGCGCAGGGCGGCGGGGAAGCAGCCCGCGCAGGCCCGGGCCCTCGCCCCCACGCACCGGTTGGGGTCGTAACCTCGGGGCCCCAGCCCCTGGGCAGGCTGCTGGTTGAGTCTGCGGATGTGGTGGGTCACGGACTCCCCGTCCGAGGTGTCAGTCTGCTCCTCCCGCCGCTCCCGGCTCCCGCTGCGGCTGTTGGAACTGGAGCGAAGCCCATCTTGGAGCCCTACGGGGAGGGGCCGGTGACGCCGGTGCCGGCAGGCGCCCGTGGACCCAGAGAACCCTGCGCCCGCAGGCCGGCAGCCCACCTAACTTCTCCGGGGCTCCACCCGCCCCGCCGCGAGCCGCAGGCCCCTCCCCAGGTGGGCCCGGGGTCGTCCCTCCGGGGAGCCCCGATACGCGTAGCAGAGCCCCGGCAGCCCTGGTCCCGGTCCGGAGCCACCGCGCCGCGGGGTCTGGGGAATCCCTGAGCAGGCCGCCCACGCGGGTACCCGCGAGCCCACCCTCCGCGGCCCTCCTCCAGAGATGCGCAGCGGCCCCGCCCCCTCCCGCCCTGACCTCGCTTCCGCTCCCGCTTGTCCTGCAGCTGCTTCTTCTTCTGCTTCACACTGAAGGGCTTCTTCCTCGGCATGGCCCCGGCGCCCGGCGCCCGGCCCACCTAGCGCCAAGCCGCCGCCACCGCCGCAACTGCCTCCCCCGGGGCAGCCCCAGCCGCCCGCCGGGGGCCTGGCTAGGCGGGGCCGCGGTGACGTCAGCGGCGGAGGGGCGGGCGGGGACGCGGGGCGGCCGGCACGTGAGGCCCGGGACTGCGGGAATAGCGAGTGGGCGGCCTGGGGAGACAGCGTCACAGGCGATACCAAGTGGCGGCCGCAGGCGGGGGGACGCGTGTCATCGCCGCCCGGCGCTTACCTGACGCGGGCGGGAGGGCGCACTGTTCCCCCCCCCCCGGGTTGGGGGAGACGCCCGAGTGCGGAGCCGAGGCTGAGCGCCCGCGGGGAAACGCCAGGCGGACTCGGGTGGAGACCATGCCGAGACAGGACTACGGGTCACACGTGCCAGCGCTGGCAAGCCGACACCTAACCGCAGGCGAAACAGGGACTTTTGGAGGGAGGTCAAAGGGCACAGAGTTGTGCCTGGCCCCCGTACCATGGTAACCGGACCGGAAGTGAAATGATTAAGGTGCGACGCGGCCGGCCACAGGCCCAAAGTGGGTGGGCTGTCGCAGGCGGTGGCGGCCCCAGTCCGCGAGAAGTGGAGCAGAGCGCCTCCCGACCTCGGAGAAGAGCCGCGCCCGGTAGGCCGATCGAGGACGCGGGCGGGAGCCGGCCGGGCGTCCGCAGCCTCCGGAAGTGCGATGGCGGGAGCCTCAGTCTTCCGGCCCACCGCCCCTCCCGGAAGCGGAAACAAACCCAGTGTGCCCCTTCCTCACTGCCCTCCAAATCCCGCTGCAGCCATTGCCGCAGCCACGATGCCGAAGCGAAAGAAGCAGAATCCGCAGCAGCCGCCGCCACAACAGGTCCCGCTGTCCGAGCGGGACGAGCCGGAGGAGGAGGAGGAGGAGAGTCCCAGCGGTGAGGGGCCCGGCAGGGTGTGCACAGCCTGGTCAGCAGGCCCGGGGTTGGGCGCGGATGCAGTACGGGGGAGGGGGCGCTAACGGAAGGAGGAAGGGCGCACGCGTGGGGGCGGGGGGGGGGAGGGCTGTTGGTGGAACCTGGAATGAGGAGTTGGCTGGCTCGAACCCTCCACCTCCGTCGGGTCCCTCAGCCTTTCTGGAGACGGTGGGGGAGGTGAGGCTAAAGAGCTCGTGTGCGCAGCCGCAGAGTGGCAGGGGAGAGGGGCGGCAGCGATTTTGCAGATGGCGATGGCTGGAAAGACAATTTGTGACCACACTTCCACTGGTTAGGTGAAAGTGCAGCCTTCTGTGAACTACTCCCCCGAGGGAAGGAGAGGAGAAAAAACTATGTGATGGGCCAGCAGTTAAGGTGAGGGATTGGGTTTTTTGGACTCCCTGGGGATGTTATGGATACAACACTGTCCAAAAGAGAAAGCTTTCAATGACCTGTATTACCCCTTGATGGATCTCTACTGTTTTGTTAAGTTACAGCCCTGCAGAGGGAAGGGCCGATAGATGGGTCGAGAACTTGCAACACTGCTAAGTGTGTATATCTGACTACTGGTTAAACTAAGAATTGAGGATTAAAAATGAGCAGAGGGGGACCGTCAGCTCTTGGCTCCAGTTTCATGACCATATTTTCGTGTCTGCTCCTAGGACCTCCCAGCCTTCTGGGCCCTCCCCCTATGGCCAATGGAAAGCCTGGTGACCCCAAGTCAGGTGAGAAGGACCCTTGGTACTTGCTTTGGGTCCCAGAGGAGGGAGGGAGGGAGGAAGGAAAGAAAAGGTCAGGTTATGTACCTGAGATGTTGCACATTCACACTTTGAAAACTGCAGTGAGTGTTGTCAAAGTGTTACTTTTCAAATTGATCTGTAGGCCCAGGGCATTTCCAGTCTCTATTGCTTGTGTGGAAGTAAGCAGTCTCCATTATATGGTCATGCAGAGGCTCTGAATGGTTCGCTACCAAGACAGCCCAGACCAGGAGGAGGGCTTGTTCTGAACATCAGGATTTGGTGTGAAGCTACAGTGACTAACTGTAGTTTCCACACAATAGTCAACATAAGTCAAATCCCAACACTTGAGAGGCCAAAGCCAGAAGATCAGGAGTTCATGGCCTGCCTCAGCTGCATGGCTAGTTTGAGGCCAGCTAGCCTGGGCTACATGAAACCCTGTCTGAACAAACTAAAAGGCAGAGAGAGGGAGAGTGGAATCAGGCATGTGACTGGATGGACACAGCGACGTGAGGTGGAACTAAAGAAGGTGGCAGTTTCTGGTGTAGTACGAGCACCTCAATCCCAGCACTCAGGAGGCAGAGGTAGGCGGATCTCTTGAGTTCCAGGCCAACTTGGTCTACATGGTGAGACCCTGTCTCAAAAGGAAGTGAGCCGGGCGTGGTGGTGCACACCTCTAGTCCCAGCACTTGGGAGGCAGAGGCAGGTGGATCTCTGAGTTCAAGGCCAGCCTGGTCTACATAATGAGTTCCAGAACACCTGGGGCTACAGGGAGACCCTGCTTCAAAAAGACAAAAATAAAAATAAAAGGAAGTGATCCCGGCAAATGATGCTACTTTGATTAGACATTTTTGTGAAAATAGGACCTTTGACCTGGAGGACATATTGGGTAGAAACATCATTTCTAAGCAGATTATAGACCTAAATTTAAACAGTAAAAGAATTCTTCTAGACAGTAAATGTATTCTCATGGTCTTGGCATAGCTAAGCTTTCTTAAGAAACACATGGGCAGGAGAGATGGCTCAGTGGTTAAGAGCTCCTGCTGTTCTTCCAGAGGATCTAGTTCAGTTCCCAACACCTATATGGCATCCAACAGCTGTCTAGAACTCCAGTTCTAGGAGATCTGACACCCTCTTGTGGCCTTCACAGACATTGCACAACACCAGTGTACTTGCATGCAAAACACCCGTACGCATAAAAAACAGAAAAGCACACATATGTGCCAAACATAAAGGAAAAAAGGATAAATTGTAGGCTGGGCATGGTGGTGCACGCCTTTAGTCCCGGCACTCGGGAGGCAGAGGCAGGTGGATCTCTGAGAGTTCAAGGCCAGCCTGGTCTACAAAGTGAGATCCAGGACAGCTGGGGCTACAGGGAGACCCTGTCTCAAAAAGACCAAAAAAAAAAGTCAGTGCAGCAGAACCACCGTGTGACCAGCAGTCCCACTTCTGAGCATGTACACACAAACTGAAAGTATGGGCGGAATGTTGATTCCCAGGGCTGTGTGGGGAGGCATACAGGAAAAGGGTGTTCAAAGGATGCTGGCTGCTTTAGTCTTCATTTCTGTTTACAAGATAAAGTTCTGGGGTTCTGTTTCACAGCATCTGAACATACATAGGACTGAACTGTCCACTTAAAAATACGATGAGGGGCTGGAGAGATAGCTCAGTGGTTGAGAGCACTTGCTCTTGCAGAGGACCTGGGTTTGGTTCCCTGCCTCCACCATTCACAACTACCTGTAACTCCAATACCAGGGAGTCTTACGCCCTCCAACCTCAAGCAGGCAAACACACATGCACGTGAAAAGATAGGTCTTTCAAAAAAAAAAAAATAGCTTAAGTCCAGTACACGCCTTTAATCCTAGCACTCAGGAGGCAGAGGCAGGCAGATCTCTGTGAGTTTGAGGCCAGCCTGGTCTAGGTCTACATGAGTTCTAGACTGGCCAGAAGTACATAGTGAGACATTCTGTCTCAAAAAAAAACTGAAGATGAACAGACAGGCAAGATGGTTCAGCAGGTAAAGGTGCTTGCCACTTAACACCCTGAGTTTGATTCCTGGGCCCAACAAGGTAGAAGACTGACACCTACAAGTTTTCCCCTGACATGTCCACATAGTCACCATGACATGAAAATGACACACACACCAAAAAAGTAACGTTTTTATTTTTATGTGTATGAGTGTTTTCCCTGTATGTAAGTGCACCATGTGTTGTAATACCCATAGAGGCCAGGAGGGGGCATCAGGTCCCTTGAGACTGGAGTTAAGAACAGTTGTCAGCCACCAGGTGGGTGCTGGGAACCCTATAAGAGCAGCTAGTGCTCTTAATCACTTGAGCCATCTCTCCAGCCCCAAGAGGGAATATTTTAGAAATCCATTCTCACAAAATGTATAACTGAAAAGGCTGACCTTAGCAGTGCTGCAGAGGTCGTGGAACAGCTGCTGAGGGGCGGCTGACACTGAAGCACAGCTGAGGACCGTCAGACTTCGCCTACCCCATTGATAGCATTTTTATTATAGCCCCTGAGTGGAAACCCCTGTGTCCATCACCAGTAGAGTGCATGCGATGGGATACGACGCCGCAGTGAGAATGAACAAACAGCGGGACCGTCAGACTTCGCCTACCCCATTGATAGCATTTTTTTATTATAGCCCCTGAGTGGAAACCCCTGTGTCCATCACTAGTAGAGTGCATGCGATGGGATACGACGCCGCAGTGAGAATGAACAAACAGCTGCTGCAGCCCCTGAGTGAACTCAGGAAGGGAGCCAGAGCTCAGAAGCAGGCAAAGGCTCACAACCCATGGTGTAGGAAGTCTGGACAGTGGGAGAGACAGGGCACATAGATGGGATCTTTGGGAGTGCTGAGCAGACTCTGTCTTTACCTGGGTGATGGAAACACGGGCATGTTCATCTTGTAGTTCACCTGTGCTCTGGAGTGGTGTCTGCTCTCCTCCAGTAAGCAGCAGGAGGGGCTTCTCAGGACTGAGCCGCCCGTCAGTTACCCTCCCTGTCTCTCTCCAGCTCTTCACAGAGGTCCTTCAGGATCAAGGACACCAGTGATTCCACCACTGCTGAGTCTCCCACCTCCTCCCCGGGGTAGAGGCCCAATTCGGGGAGGCCTTGGCCCAAGGTCCAGTCCATATGGTCGTGGTTGGTGGGGGGTCAATGCTGAACCTCCTTTTCCTGGGCCAGGCCATGGGGGTCCCTCTAGGGAAAGCTTTCACAAAGAGCAGAGAAACCCAAGAAGGCTCAAAAGCTGGTCTCTTATCAAGAACACCTGCCCGCCGAAGGCTAGCACCCAGGTGATGGAAGGTAAGGCTGGCTTGGTTCTGCCTGTGCACATTTGACATCCAGTGTCATAAGGTGGCCTGGGTGCCAGCATGCCCAGTACTCTTCTCTGATCTGTTTGAGGGGTGGGGAATAACTCCAGAGATTAATCCAGGGTTGCCCTTTAGGCAAGCCTCTACCACTGAGCTAAATTCCAAGTCCTCAGGGTGCCTCAGGAGAGATGGCTCAGTGGTTAAGAGCACCAGCTGCTCTTACACAGAACTGAGGTTTGGTTCCCAGCATGGAGGGTAACAACCATCCATAACCCCAGTTCCAGGGGATCTGACACCCTCTTCTGACCTCAGGCATTGCACACTCATCAGACACTCATACACATAAAATAGTTTTTAAGATTTTAAGCTTCAAACATTTTGAAATGTTTTCAAAACTTCAGTTTGCACTTATTCACAGACAAATCTGACCGCCCTGTCTGCCGACACTTTTCCAAGAAGGGCCACTGTCGATATGAAGACCTCTGTGCCTTCTACCACCCAGGCGTTAATGGACCTCCTCTGTGAGACTGTGCCTTCCCACCCAGGCTGGAAGGAGTTCTCGACCTAGCGGCCATCACTCCTGTGGTCCCCCTACGGCCACTACGAGGCTCTTCCGCCACCCTCAGTCAGTGACACGTCCATCCCATCCTCCACCCCCGTTCGGGGTTCAGAGTTGTGATTCGTCACTGGTGTGAGGTGCACCGCCATCTTCTGATCCAGGCTCAGAGACCTTTGGGACCCCATCTTGCTCCCTTCATCTGCCTCCTGGATCTTCCCCTCCACCAAATGACTGCTGAACAGGAACCTTTGGTGCTGTTTCTTGTGCATCTGTCCACCTGTCCCCCGGTATTGCCCTCGATTCCCGAGAGCCCTGGAGCAGTCCCCTACCCTCCAGCTGCTTGTTTTAAGTCCTTTTTTATGTGAAGCCCATGTTTTCAGCTGCCTAGGAAACGCACCAGGTTTTCTGGCTTGGGGTCCAGTTTGGGTGGCTGGTGTAGAGCTGCTCCCTGAACGGCCCCCTGCTTCTGGACGTCGTAGTTTCTGTCCGTAGCATTATCCCCGCTAAGGCCTGTGGTCGCTGTGCTTTGTGAAACTGTGCATCTCCTTGTAGCACTCCTCAGTGTCCGTGGCATTTTTGTGACTCCCCAACACCAAGAGTACATTTTTCTGCCAAATCGAGTGAGGCTCTTGGTGCCCTCTAGATGTCGCCTACCTCCCAACATGGGAGAATGGTGAAACTTCCTCAGACTGCCTCCTGTCCTCCCCTGGTGTCGGTCATTCTGGGTCTGACACAGGCCAGCAATGTCTTGTGAAGCCTCAGGCGGGCCTCCCTTCTGAGCTCCCACTGGCCACCTTAGTTAGGCCCTGTCATGTGCGGCTGCCAGCCCTTTCCCTTGAGTTCGTGACTCTCCACTCGGCCGTCGTGGGTAGGACCTGGGCAGTGCTGCTGCCCTCTCCAAACCTCCTCCCTCACATTCCTGGCACTGGTTGTTTTCTGTGAAAACGGCAGTAAACAGGTTGGGTTTTGAGTTGGCCCCAAGGAAGTGGGTCAGGAGTTGTGTGGGTTAGAGGAGTGAGAGCCGTTGGAGAACTGAGAATGAATTTTTTTCTTTTTAATGTTTTCTTATATTAGTAATAAACAGTGGAAACCAGCATTTTCTCTCAGCCCCGTGTCCAGTCATCTCTGAGAGTGCAGGTGGGTATCCCCTTTCCACAGAAAGTGGTCAGTACAGTCATCACCCAGACCAAGCTGGATTGTGTTCAGGGAGCCACTTTTAGGCATTCTGTATGTCAAGGAATGTACGAGGTGCTGGAGACAGCTGAGCCCAGTGCATCCGTGTTCAGGTTACAGGGTCGCTGCAGCTGCACCCCTCAGGCTGTAGGGAAGTGGCAAGGTGTCTTAAGGAACGGGAGGGACAAGAACATGGTGCTAGAGGAAGTCAGACTGGCCCATCCTCTTCAGTCAGTCAGTAGTTCCAAGGTGAACTGATACCAAACTTTATACATAACATGTCACACCTGTAGTCCCAGCATTCAGGAGGTAGAGGCAGGTCTGATCTACATAGTGAGTTCCAGGCCAGATGGTGCTACAGGGAGACTTTGTCTCAAAAAGACCAAAAATAATAATAATAATAATCCAAAAAGCATGGCTCTGTGCGAAAAGCTTGGGCATGACTGACTGCTCCATTGGGGATCGGCTTAGAACAAAAGGTTAGGTTATGTCAGTGGTTCAGGTGAGTGAGGGAGTTGGAAAGACCACAGGAAAACTTTTTATTTTTTTTTTATGTGTACAAATGTGTTGCCTGCGTGTATGTGAGTGCACCCGTGTCATGCAATGCCGTGGAGGTCAGAAGAGGGCTTCGGGTTCCCCTGGAACTGCAATGAAGGACCGTTCATAGCAGCCATGTGGGTGCTGGGAATCGATCCCAAGTCCTCTGCAAGAGCAGCCAGTGCTCTTAATCGCTGAGCCATCTCTCCAGTCCCAACATTAGATTTCTGACTTTCCCAACTAACTGCCATTTAAGAGATGATTATTGGGAGAAAACAGCTACCAGCTTGCTTTGAAGATAGTTGAATACCTGCCTTTAAAAAAATTGTGTGCATGTGTGTGCCAGAATGCATGTATGTGCATGACATGCACAAAGTGTCTGCAGAGGCCAGAGGAGGACATGGGATCCCCTGGAACTGGAGTGGAGGACATGGGATCCCCTGGAACTGGAGTGAGAGGCAGTTGTGAGCTGCCTGAATGGCTGCTAGGGACTAAACCCAGGTCTTCTGCAAAAGCAGCAAGCACTGTAACCACTGAGCTGCGGCTCCAGCCAGGAGCTACCTTTACATTGCCAACCATTTCTATAATTCTAATCGACCGCCCTGTCTGCCGACACTTCCAAGAAGGGCCACTGTTGATATAAAGACTGTACCTTCTACCACCTGAGCGTCAGTGGACATCCTCTGTGAGACTGCCTTCCCACCCAGCCCCCTCATGGCTCCAGCCAGGAGCTACCTTTACATTGCCAACCATTTCTATAATTGGGCACTTGGATCTGGTATTCAGATTAAAATTAGAGACACAAGGGGCTGAGGAGATGGCTCAGTGGTTAAGAGTGCTTGCTGCTCCTGCAGGGGACCTGAGTTTGGATCCCAGTACCCATGTTGGGCAGCTCACAACTGCCTGTAACTCAAGCTCCACAGAATCTGACTCTTCTGGCCTCTACCTGGATGCACATGGCAGACCACAAATACAAAAATAATCTTGAATAAAATAGATATTAAAGACAAAAACAGACATGGCGATGCACTAGTGACACTGGCATTCAGGAGGCTGAGGCAGGAATTAAGCTTGAGACCAGCTAGGGCTGTGCAGAGCCTGGGCTCTGGCCTATTTAAAAAAAAGCCACAACCTACGCATGAACCCAAGTTCTCTGAGCACAGGTGATGGGTGAAGCTATGTGTATGCACACTCATTCTATGAGGACTAAGCACCTGCCCCGTCCCAAATGGCCAGGATGTGTGTGTGTGAATGCATGATGTGGGGTGTGGGTTCACAGTGCACGTTGTGGAGGTCAGAGAATGGCTCAAGTCAGTTCTTTCACTTTAACATGGGTTCCAGGGATTGAACTCAGATCTCCAGCTTGTGTAGCAAGTGCCTTTACCGACAGAACCATCTCATCAGCCCCAATTTATCGGGTTTAAATACAGTTGTTAACAGAAACCCAAAGTTGGTCTTTTTTGTTGTTTTTGCTTTTGAGGCAGAGGCTCACTATGTAGCCCTGGCTGGCCTGGAACTCAAGAGATCCACCAACTTCTGCCTGCTGAGTGCTGGAATTAAAAGTTAAAAGTGTGCACCAAAGGTTTTTTTGTTTGTTTGTTTGTTTTTGGTCTTTTTGAGACAGGGTCTCCCTATAGCCCCAGCTGTCCTGGAACTCACTATGTAGACCAGGCTGGCCTTGAACTCACAGAGATCCGCCTGCCTCTGCCTCCCGAGTGCTGGGATTAAAGGTATGTGCCACCATGCCTGGCCCTAAAGTTGATTTTTAAAAACCAGGCTTGGTGGTACCTTTAATCCCAGCACTCTGAGGCAGAAGCAGGCAGATCTCCCCAAGTTCAAGTCCAGCCTGGTCTACATAGCAGGTTTCAGGTCAAGCAAGGGTACATACTGAGATCCTGCCTTAAATTTATTTCTCTCACAAGCCAAAGTGGTGTGCAGCTGTTAAATTTATGCCCCACTGGCTTGGTAACAGATATGTGGCCAATACCTAGATGTTTGGGAAGGTGGTTTTTGTTCAGGCCACAAGAGTATTTGGCTTTGAGTTGGTAAAATATTCAAGTATATGAACAGACACTGCCAGCTACTCACTGCTAAAAGTTGGGATACAAAGGAGAGGACAGCCAGGCATGGGGCATACAACTTTAAACCAAAATTTGGGAGGCAGAGGCAGGCAGAGCTCTGAGTTCAGGGCTAGCCTACTCTACATACTTCCAGAGTAGGGTTATACAGTGAGACCCTATCAGAAAAAAAGGAGGAACAACAAGGATAGGTTTGTGTTCTGAGATTTTAATATTTTTATTTATGAGTGTATTGCCTGCTTTGTGTGTGTCGTGCAATGCCTGAAGAAGTCAAAAGATGTCAGATTGCCCTGTAACCCATGTGGGTGCTGGGAACCAAACTCAGGTCCTCTGCAAGAGCAGCCAGTGCTCTTAACTGCTAAGCTATCTCTCCAGCCTGTTCTGAGGTTTCAAAAAGCAGATTGGGGTACAGTTCTGTGTTGGGTGCTGCAGAGAAGCAGGGCGATTTTGAGTGCATAGCTTTTTAATATTTTTATGGGTATGAATGGTTTCCCTGCATATATGTTAAGTGTATGTACCATATGCCCGAGGAAGCATGTTGGATTCCAGGGAACTGGAGTTAGCTGCCATGTGGGTTCTAGGAACCGAACTTGGATCTTTTGCAAGAGCAGCCAGTGCTCATGACCGCTGAACCATCTCTTCCAGCCCCAACCAATTTTTAATTACATTTTATTTTGTGTAGGGGGTGGGGTGCATGTGCCAAGGCATCCGTGTGGAGGCCAGAAGACAGTTTTCTCCTTCGCAGTCTGGGTCTCCAGGACTGAACTCAGTCATCAAGCTTGACAGCAGGTGCCTTTACCCCTGAGCCATCTCACAAACCTTACAGACCAGAAAATGGAGCGAAGCTGGGTCTACTGATGAAGGAGCCAGCATTCTCCTGAGAGGGACACACTGGCAGTTTTCATGCTTTGCACAATTGTTTCTTAGACAAGATTATGAAGTCTGTCTTCACAACAATCACAAATGATGGTGAGACTGTTCATTAGGGTACCACAACCCAGCTGTGTCAGACCAGCGCCTACAACACCACAGCCCAGGGAGCTATCTGTACAGGGCCAGTTCCCAGATGTCAGGGGCTGTTTTCGAAAAAGGAAAATACATGGAGCTGGGGCATGGTAGTGCACACCTTTAATCCCAGCACTTGGAAGGCAGAGGCAGGCAGAGCCTGGTCCAGACTGGTAGTCTCAAAAAAGAAAAAAAAAAAAAAAAAAAAAAAAAAAAACACAGAGCCATATGTGCTGTAAGGTATTTGATTTACTCTGAATGTTTTATGCAAATGATTTCTATTTTAAAGCTATAGGTGTCAGTAGATACAAAGGAGAGATGGTCCAGCGGTTAAGAGCACTGGTTCTTGCAGAAGACCTGGGCTCGAATCCCAGCACCCACATGGCAGCTAACAACTGTCCCTAACTCCAGTTCCAGGGGATCCGCCAGCCTCTTCTGATCTCCACAGGCACTGCACGACACGGGTGCACTTACCTACATGCAGGCAATATACGAATACACACAAAATAAAAAAATAAATTTAAAAAAATTTAAAAAGGACAGCCCAGAAGATGAAGACAGCAGTGTGAATCTCTGTGGCAGGCCAGCGCAGTGGGCCAGGGGAGGACAGCTGGTAGCTTTCTCTAGGGTAGGGTGGAGAGAAGTGGCCAAACTTGAGGGATGTTTAAATCTGCTGCTCTGGACAATGCATTTTAAAATATGCAGGACCCGCCCGGTGTGGTGGTGCACGCCTTTAATCCCAGCACTCTCACTGCTAAAAGTTGGGATACAAAGGAGAGGACAGCCAGGCATGGGGCATACAACTTTAAATCCAAAATTTGGGGGCAGAAGCAGGCAGATCTCTGTGAGTTCAAGGCCAGCCTGCTCTACATAGTGAGTTCCAGGACAGCTGGGGCTACAGGGAGACCCTGTCTCAAAAAGACCAAAAAAAAAAGTCAGGACCCTGGGGATCCCCAGCATCATCAAAAAAATAGCATCCCCCATTGGTATCAAGTCAATCTTTCTAGTTGCTTGGGCTGGAAACTGCCTTAATTCTTCCTGTTGTATCTGACCTCCAGTCACAAACCCTGTTGACTTTTTCCTCAAAATGTACCCAGAAACTGGTCCTCTTCTCTGCCCCCTCTTCTTGCTCCCTGTCACCAGCACGCTGTCAGTGGTCTCCCTGCTTCTGCCTTTGCTGTCCACTTCTCATCCTGTCCCCTCTCCGCACTGCCCACATCATCCTAGTGAACTATGGTGTTGGGCCATGTCACCGCTCAGAAACCCCCAGGTTGGCCTAGAAGACCTTTCTCACTTCTCTTGTTCTTTTATCACTCGTACAAGCCTTGATCCACCCCTGCTTGCCGTCTCTCAAGTGCACCAATAGCCCTGCTGTTGGGCATTGTGGCTTCTGCTAGAAATCCTCTTCTAGAAATCCAAGTCAACGAAACACCTTTGGGAGTTGGCTTGAATTTCACCATATTGAGGCTGCAGGAGCAGTTAAGCCCTAAAAACTGTCTTCAGGGTATTTTTGCATCTACTATCTACCATCCACCCACCCACCCATCATCTAGCATCTATCTATCATCCATCTATTGATCTGTGTCACCCATTTCTATGTATCATTTATCTCTATCATTACCTATATCTTTTGTACTAATTTGCTTTCTGTTTCTGCCTGTTTATTTATTTATTACTTTGCTCTTTTTGAGACTGGGTCTCCCTGTAGCCCCAGCTGGCCTGGAACTTGCTATGTAGACCAGGCTGGCCTCCAACTCACAGTGCTGAGATTAAAGGCGTGGGCCACCACACCAGACTTAATCTTATGTTTTGAGATTTAACATCTCAGCTTGCTCATAATTTAAAGCCATGTACTAAGCCTTGAGCTCCTCTTGTAACCTAAAACATACAGCCTTAATCCCTCATGACCCTTCCTTGCCCTTAACCCACAATAATGTACAAATGTGTTTCCCATATCAAGCAACAGAGATAATTATACCATTTGTGTTGCAAACAATAGGTGCAATTAAATTGGTAAAATCTGTGGTTATGTTCACTGTCCTAGTCGGCAGGGGTCAAAGGGACAAAATCCTCTGGTAAGTCTACTTTTCTTCCCCATTCATGCTGGTAGCACAATTTTCAATGAGAGATGAAGGAAGGCCTTTGGGCACTCAATTCTGAGAGAAAGCTGAAGAAACAGATTCTCAGAGCATGCAGGGTCCTCTGTTGGCTAAAATGGATGCTAGGAGTCCGGCTGCCTTTATTCAGGCATCACTGCAATGTGACATCACATAGTACCATTACACCTCAAGGGTGGAGGCCAGCAAAGGAAGTAGAGATCAGTCCACTAGGAAAATGAGGGGAGGGGAGTGACCAACCACATCAGATGTTCCAGGAAGAGTAGGATGAGGTCAGAGCACAGGCCTATGATCTGATTTTTGGAAAGAGTGAATTGGAATATCCCTGGTGGGCTACGGATGTGGCTAGGTTGGTAGAGTGCCTTGCACACATGAAGCTCTGACTTCAGGTCTTGGGCCATGTAAAAACGTAAAACCAGGCACAGCAGCACGGGCCTGTAATCCCAATATTCTGGAGGGATGTGGAGGCAGGAAGCCCAACAATTCAAGGTCATCCTTGGCTACAGAGTGGACTTGAGGCAAGCCTGGGCTACAGGAGACCCTCTCCAAAGGAGAATGAAAAAGGCACGATTGTGTGTGAGAAGAGGAGCGGATCTGGCTGTGGGAACACCTAGCTCACGTTGCCATGCCTGTCATTCATTGGTTGGGAGTCATAACTTGACTGTGGTTTAAAGGGTGTGCGCATGTGGAAACTTACCAGGTATCCACTTCCTAGCTCCTCAGTTCATCGCGTGTCATTTACTTGCACGTGCAATTTACTGTAGGTGAATTACACAACAGCAAAATTATCACCAGAAAAAGAAAAAAGACCCGAGGCTCCGTGACACCATGATCTTCGCTTGTTGGGCTCGAGCTCCTTGCTTACAACTGTGCACCTCAGGATTTCATAACACCTGTCAACCGAGGCCTGGTAGGGCGCCTTCTCCATTCGCTGATAGATTGTGATGCCTGTTTCTTAAAAAGGATGGGGCTGGGTGTGGATGTGTACCTTTAATCCCAGCACAGGAGGCGCAGGCAGAAAGGCTGGTCTACATAGCAAGTTTCAGGCCAGCCAGGGCTCTTGCAGAGGACCCAGGTTCGGTTCCCAGCATCTCCACGACAGCTCACAACCACCTGTAACTCGAACTCCAGGGGATCCCACGCCCCCTTCCGGCCCACCCGGCTTTTCATGCACACTGTGCACATACCGACGTCAGACAAAACACTCAGACACATAAAATAAAAATAAATGTCTTAAAGAATAAAGACGCCGGGGAACGTCACCCTACCCTGAAATTATCACCGCGGCGCTGCGTCACCTGCTCAGGCTGGAGGACCGTCAGGACGCGCACCCAAACGACCACGTGACGCCTCGAGCCACGCCCCTGGACCCGGCGGGCGCACTAGGGCCGCGCGAGGGCGGGGCGGGCGCCGCATGGAGAGCCCGCCCATTGGTGGCCCCATGCCGCCGGAAGCGGAAACAGCATCGGGCGCCGCCGCCGGAGCACCCACAATTGCCACCGCGATGCCGAAGGGTCCCAAGCAGCAGCCGCCGGAGCCGGAGTGGATCGGGGACGGCGAGAGCACGAACCCCGCGGGTGAGCGGGGAGAAGGCGGAGGGCAGCGCGGACACTGCGCATGTGCACGGGGGAGGAGGCCGCCCAGGAGCCTGGGGCGGGAGACGGGGAGGGCATGTGGCAGCCAAGCAGGGACCGGACGACCCAAGCATCTCGGCCTTCTTCCCTTCCACCGGGTGCGACTGTGCCGTGAGCCCTGCCTCGATCGCCCCCTTTCCGGGGCGCCCCGATCCTACTTGTTAATAGCGACACCCCATTGACTCAGCTGCAGCAAGTGTAGACTGAATGTTAGAACGCAGGGTTAAAGTTTTCTTTTAGAAGGAATACTTTGTATGTTGGGCTGTGGGAGTGGAAAGAAACAGACTTGAAGTCACTTAAAATGGACACAAAGAGTACAGTAGCTTTACCAGCGTATGTCGGTGGTGTGAGAAAAATGATCCTTCCCTGAAAGAAGTGGTTGAGGTGTCTGGGGTCCTGGCTGCTGGGAGTTTGAGGCAGGAGGATTACTGGAGTTGAGTGGTTTGGAGACCAGCCTGGCTGACATCCTTGGAAAAAGAAAAGGCAGGAGGCATCGCGATGCATACCACCTGTAATTTCTGTGCTCTTGAGACTGAGGCAGGAGGATGGAGAGCTGGAGGCTTGCCTGGGCTCCACAGCAAGACACTGCCTCAAAGAAAAAGAACAGGAAACAGACAAGCAAAGGCTTTTCCTGAGGAGGTGCCCTGTCCTTGTGACGGATGAGGGTGACTTCCGAGGAGAAGAGGGACGCCTGTTCAGACAGGTGTCAGCACAGCCTCCCAGCAGGCTTAATTGTTAAGGTGTCAGTGTGAGTTGGCGAAGAGCATTCTAAGCACAGCAGTTTGCGGAGATGGTGTGGAGGTGAGCCTGGTGACTAGTGAGATGGGAAAGATGTACAGGGGTCAGAGCCTAAGGCCTCCTGCTAGCCCAAGAAGTTTGGTCCTAAGGCATTAAGAGGAAGGGCCCACTGAACAGCATAAGGAATGATGCTGTGTGTGTTTGAGGTAGGGTCTTGTGTAACCTAGGCTGGCCTTGAACTTACTAGGTAGTCAAGGCTGGCCTTAAACTCTTGATTCTTGGGCCTCATCCTCCCGACTGCCGAGCTTACAAGCATGGACCACCATGCCTTGCTTTGCTTGTAGTTGAGACAAAGTCTTACACAGCTGAGGCTGGCTTTGAACTCCTATGACCAGCTTATTGGGATAAGGGAGCCAGCCGTGGATGGAGTGGCCTTGAGTGGGTTGGGATAGAGCAGGAACACCACTGGGAGGCTCTGGCAGCCGTTTCTGTGAGAATGTCAAGAGTATAGGTTAAGGCTGTGGAGACTAAGTGTTCTTTCAAGAGGCCTGAACCAGAAACTGACATGAAGAGGGTGAAGACTGTGGGATGCACTTATTTAGTAACCAGGGTGGGTAAAGGAGCAGGCATCAGAGCAGTTCATAGTGATACTGGGAAAATGTGGGGTGGTCGCTCTTGTTTGCAATAGGGTCTCCATGTAGTCCCAGCTGGCCTAGAACTTGCTATTTAGACCAGGCTGGCTATTTAGACCAGGCAGCTCTGCCTGCCTCTGTCTCCCAAGTGCTGGTACTAAAGGCGTGGGACACCAAGCCCGGCCAGGAAAAGTTTTTTAGAGTAGTACTGAGCGGCAGGGTGGGAAAGGGCAAACATAATGTCAGGGTTTGGAGGGGCAGGGCTTGGTGCAAGTGTGGCAGTCAGGGGACAACTTTGTGGACCAGGCTCTCTTTCCACCTGGGTTCAAGGATCAAACTCAGGCCTCCAGGCTTGTGTGGTAAGCGCCTTTACCTGCTGAGCCATCTTGCTGGCCCAGTGTCAGATTCTGAGTGCTGAGTTGGAGGTCTCTGAGAAGGATGGCAAGGGCTCTTGGGTAACTAGCTCTGGAAGGAGACGGGGATGAGAAGAGCTGGGAGTGAAGGAGTCCTGGAGAGACAGGAGGACCCCAGGAGAACCTTACCGGCCAGGGAAGTGGTGTCAGGGAGGCTGTGGGGGTAAGGACCACCAAAGAAAGGAGGGCCGAATGAGGACCAGCAGGAAGCCCAGCCAGCAGCGGCTGAGTGCTGAGAAACCATGTTCATTAAGTGGTACCCAAGGCCCCAAGTGATGGGGCATGCCTTTAACCCCCAGGGTAGTGGCAGGTGGATCTCTGGACCCAGGCTGGTCTAATATCAAGTTCCCAGCTAGCCGAGGCAGCATAGTGATACCCTGTCTCAAACAAAGGAGTAGGAGGCTGGGGTTAGTGCGGAAGTGCAGTGCTTGCCAATTGTTGGTGTTTGTTTTTCAGCACTTTCAGGGGATCAGACCCAGGGCCTTGAGTGTGCTGGACTGGCACGCCACCGCTGGGTTACATCCGCAGCTGTTACCTATTTTGAGATAGGTCTCATTAAGTTGCCTAGGCTGACTTCCCACTCCTGTTTGTTTTTGAGGCAGAGTTTTCCTGTAGTCCCAGTTGGGCCAGAACTCACTGTGTAGACCAGGCTAACCCTGAATCTCAGAGATCTGCCTGCCTCTGCCTCAGTCCTCTTGCCTTGACCTCCCTATTAGCTGAGTTACAAGTGTGAACCAAGAGTGATAAAGTTAAAATGTTTTCCTTTGCTTTGAAGCTGAGGGAAGCTTTAAGTGGAGGAGCAGCAGAGCTGTGGTCACCAGCTGTTGTCCTATGGTGAGAGTAGAGCCCCACAGGTATCTGTTCCCAGGGTTTTCTCTCAGGGCCATGTGGGTCAGAGTGAAGTTTAACAGACTGAAGGGATTTAAAGGATGGAGGAGGGAACCAGACCTTGTGGCCCAGGCCTGTAATCCAACTCCTTGGGAGGCTGAGCAGGAGGATCTCAAGTTCAAGGTTATCCTATGCAACTTAGTGAGACTCTGCCTCAGAAGGTAAAATTAAGGACCAAGGATGTAATTTAGTTGTAGGCACTTAAGCCAGCACGTGTGAGGCCCTAGATTCAGCCTGTAGTCAAAAAGAAGTGTGGTTTGGCCTTGGAAAGAGCACAGGGAGCAAGTCACTCGGTGTTGGAAGGTGAGTGATTGTGTCCCTCGGTGGCTCCTTCCCTTCTGTTGTGAGGGCTGGACTCCATGGACTGGCATGATAAGCCTTCCATGAACCCTGCACAGTCTTCCGGCCAGTCACCCAATAAGTGCTGCCATTCAGATTTGAAAGGATTTCTGGAGGACCGATTAAGCACAGACATAAGCATGCCTGGATTTACAGAGGAATATAGGAGGAGCCAAGTCCACAGCTTAGGAGAGTCAAGAAGGGTGGATGGGTCCTGCAGACCCTGTAACTGAGATGCAGATTGTCCTGCATAATCTCAAGATTTTTGGCAAAGTAGATATTTAGTAAAACTTTTCTGAAGAATGATTACTGTGGCATACCTGGAATTCTTGTCTGAGTACTTAATGTAGTGGGTGGCAAGCACTCTCTATTCTGAGTTCTAAAGTTACCTGACTCCAGGTCTGCTTTGAGTAACTGAGGTGGTTTAGATGATGTGGGTAGTAGGCCTGGGTATGAAGGGAAGTCGTGAGAATGCTTCTGCCACCATGAATGGGAGGGTGGAGGTTACACAGAGTCCCCTGCCTTGAGGGACACCAGTGGACAGAAGCAAGGAGCCAAAGCAGTCCAGCCAGCTTTCTTGGCTTCCCTCTTTGCTCCCTGGCAGCACAAATAGTCTCCCAGGTCACTTTCTAGGCTGAAAGACTAGCACAGAATAAATGTGACCTGCTGACCCTTGTGCTGTGATGTTTGGGCACAACGGGGGCATAGGCCCAGGTACTTGTTCACAGAAAACCATTTTCGTGGCCTGCAGGTTTCACATAACACATCCCACACTGGATTTCTGAGATCCTCTTGTCTCCGCAGAGGGCAGGGTGGGGAAAGGACTTTCTCTCCACTGTTTTCTGAAGTGTACTGAATGTAACCACTAGCCAGCTTAATTTGATAGCTAAAAACAGCGTATCTCTGAGTACTCTCTCTGCCCTGTGGATTCTGGTGCTCTCCCTCTTTCCCCATCAGCAGCACAGGCCACAGACTGTTTCTGGAACTCTGTGATGGTCTCCCAACTGGTTCTCCATTATTGTCCCATCCTTGCTCCACTTCAAAGAAGTGCAAGACTTGACAGCACAAGAGATCCAACCCGTAAACTCCCTGCTCCTCAAGCTGATCGCAAAGCCCTCCCTGGCCTGACCCTGCCCTAGGTCTCACAGCTTCTCCACCAGATGACACCTCCACAGAGAGCCCCACATTTGCCTCCTCTTCCCTTTGGGGAACTCAGGGCCCTTGCATGTCAGAGGAAACCATGGTTGTCTCACTTGCTGTTCGTATTTCGAATGCTAGCAGTTTCTGACATCTAGTGGGTATGCAGTGAATAGGTATTTGTGGATGGATGGACGGACGGGTGGGGAAGTGATTGTTTCTGTAAGTGATTACTAAGAACAGTTCAGGCTGCTGGGCATTGGTAGTCACTGTTCACGTCTGTTTAACCTTCCAGACAAGGTGCTGAAGAAAGGAAAGAAGGACAGAAAGACGAAGAAGACGGTGAGGAAATGAGGCCTAGGAACGACTGGGTGTCACCAGGCGAATAATTGGCCTTGTGAGAGTGGGGTGGAGGGCCGTGCTGGGAGAAGCGGGGCTGTGTGGGGGTGCTCCTATCACCCAGGAACGTTTGGGGGAGGTCATGATCTTGAGGCCACCTTTGTCTTAGCCTATATTCTGCTACTCTGACAGAAACCCCAAGATTGCTGTTTATAAACAACAAATACTTGAAGTGGGCTAGGGGAGATGGAGTGGACCTGGGAAGGAGGGGGAGGGGTGCACCACCACACCCAGCTCTATAAAAATATTTTATATATATATATATATATATATTTCTATTGTTTTTATTTTGTGTGTATGAGTGTATCGGCTATATGTATGTGAGTGCACCCATGTCGTGCAATGCCGCAGCGGTCAAAGAGGGCTTCGGATTCCCCTGGAACTGGAGTTGAGGACGATTCATAGCCTCCATGTGGGTGCTGGGGATTGAACCCAGGTCCTCTGCAAGAGCAGTCAGTGCTCTTAACCACTGAGCCGTCTCTCCAGCCCCAAAACATTTTTAAGATTGAAAAAAAGAAGAAACCAGGCTTGGTGGTGTATGTACTCAGGAGGCAGAGGTAGGAAGATCTCTGTGGGTTTGAGGCTAGCACTACATAGTAAGTTCAGGCTGGCTGGAGCTGCAGGGAGACCCTGTCTGAGAAAACCCAAAAAATTTTTTTTAAATCTAAGTTTTTAAATAGTTGTAGAGTTGGGACGTGCCCTGTTGGCTGACTACTGTGCCATCCTTTAGAGGCAAGTGGAAGGAAACCAAAGGTTCCAGGAGGCAGGAAATGAGTAAAAGCCAGGCCTGGTGAATGAAAGTGGAACCAGAATGTCACCCAATAGGTTTGAGAGAGGGGGCACAAAACATCTATTGATAGGCTTGAGGGGACAAAATGTCTGCCTATAGGTGTGAAAGGAGGGGCGGGGTGAGGAGGCCGGTGTGCAGGCGTCAGAGCCTTTCTTGCTGTGTCACCCATCACAGTTCTTTGAGGAGCTGGCAGTGGAGGATAAGCAGGCTGGGGAGAAGGAGAAAGCCCTGAGGGGGGAGCAGCAGCAGCAGCAGCAGCAGCAGCAGGTATGGAGCCTGGAGTCCTGGGCGCCTCCTCGGCTGATGGGGGCCGGGGCTCTGCATGGGGCAGGTCTCCGGGGAGCCTGGAGTCCTGGGCGCCTCCTCGCCTGATGCGGGGGCGGAGCTCTGCATGGGGCAGGTCTCCGGGGAGCCTGGAGTCCTGGGCGCCTCCTCGCCTGATGCGGGGGCGGAGCTCTGCATGGGGCAGGTCTCCGGGGAGCCTGGAGTCCTGGGCGCCTCCTCGCCTGATGCGGGGGCGGAGCTCTGCATGGGGCAGGTCTCCGGGGAGCCTGGAGTCCTGGGCGCCTCCTCGCCTGATGCGGGGGCGGAGCTCTGCATGGGGCAGGTCTCCGGGGAGCCTGGAGTCCTGGGCGCCTCCTCGCCTGATGCGGGGGCGGAGCTCTGCATGGGGCAGGTCTCCGGGGAGCCTGGAGTCCTGGGCGCCTCCTCGCCTGATGCGGGGGCGGAGCTCTGCATGGGGCAGGTCTCCGGGGAGCCTGGAGTCCTGGGCGCCTCCTCGCCTGATGCGGGGGCGGAGCTCTGCATGGGGCAGGTCTCCGGGGAGCCTGGAGTCCTGGGCGCCTCCTCGCCTGATGCGGGGGCGGAGCTCTGCATGGGGCAGGTCTCCGGGGAGCCTGGAGTCCTGGGCGCCTCCTCGCCTGATGCGGGGGCGGAGCTCTGCATGGGGCAGGTCTCCGGGGAGCCTGGAGTCCTGGGCGCCTCCTCGCCTGATGCGGGGGCGGAGCTCTGCATGGGGCAGGTCTCCGGGGAGCCTGGAGTCCTGGGCGCCTCCTCGCCTGATGCGGGGGCGGAGCTCTGCATGGGGCAGGTCTCCGGGGAGCCTGGAGTCCTGGGCGCCTCCTCGCCTGATGCGGGGGCGGGGCTCTGCATGGGGCAGGTCTCCGGGGAGCCTCAGCTTCATGCTCACACTTGCTTTCAGCAACAGAAAAAGAAGCGAGATCCGAAAAAGGGCCGGCGGAAGAAGGATGTGGACGATGATGGTGAGGAGAGAGAGCTCATGGAGCGGCTCAAGAAGTTGTCTGTGCCGGCCAGTGACGAGGAGGGTGAGGGTGAGTGACCACAGTCCTGGGGTCGGGGCAGTCAGGCCTCATACCTTGCAGGTCTTTAAGTTGGTGATGTGGAGGAGGCAGACGCTGGCATTCTGTTGGTCATCTCCTCCTGTCCTCTTGTTTCAGCACCCGCCCCCATACCCCGAGGAGGGAGGAAAACAAAGGTGAGCTGTCTGTTGGTAAGCAGAGACCCCTAAGGGCAGCTGTGACTATCCACTGACGTCTATGGCCTTTTCTAGGGTGGAAATGCTTTCGCAGCCCTGATTCAGGACCAGAGTGAAGAGGAGGAGGAGGAACAGAAACCTGCTCCTAGGCCCGCCAGGCCCGAGAAGAACCATGTCAATAAGGTGAGCTTCGTGGCAGGCATGCCAGGCTCAGTGTGTAAACTTGATCCCGGATTTGCCTCTCATGCTGTCAGAAGTCATCCAAAACACTGCTGATTATACTCTTCAGAGAGGTAAACTCAGATCTAAGCCGACGATCTGGCTGCTCTTCCTGGGACACTGTACCAGCACATCTCGGTGTAGAGTGTGGCCACGTCCTCTGTGGGCCGTGCTGCTGCACCCCTTCCCTGGAGGCCTTCTGAGCCCAGATCCAGTGCCTCATCTGCAGACTGCCTTCTGCAGGCAGGCCTGCGGCACTGGCCTCCACCGCACTGTCCATTTGTCTGGCTGAGTCCCCTGGCTTGGCTGTGGGTTTCTGGTTCTCGTGTCTTCCCAACAGCCTCCTGGCCCATGGCAGACACTCCACACATACCTGGAAGCGGCGGAGTAGCCAGGTCATCTGTGTGTGTTTCCTGCAGGCTGGGTCTGAGGAACAGCAGCCCAGGCTCAGGAGCAAAAAGGGAAAGGAGGAGAAGCCCAGAGGAAAGGCTGTGGGGAGTGGCGGGGAGTGGGGCAGGGAAGGGTTGCTCTCAGACATTCGGGTGCATCATCAGGCCCATCTTTTCTTTGTTAGCCTCAAAATAAATTTGCTGCTCTGGACGATGAAGAGAAGGAAGAAGAAATTACTAAAGAAAAGGGGGCTCCCAGACCAGGGAAGGAGAAGGACAAGAAGGCCGGGCAGGTGTGTGCTTTGCATAGGGGAGGGATTGCCTGGGCTGGGGCTGGGTGATGGCTGTTTCTGTTTACAACAGGAGCCCACAGACTTTCCACAAAGGGTGCTGCCAAGTGGGGTTTTTTTTTGGTCTTTTTGAGTCAGGGTCCCCCTATAGTCCTAGCTGACCTGGAACTCATGGACTAGGCTGATCCGCCTGCCTCTGCCTTCTGAGTCCTGGGATTAAAGGCATGCTCCACCATGCCCGGCTTGCCAGGTGGTTTTGCCTTTGCAGTCTATGTACAATCTGTTTCATAGTTTTGTAATTCTTGGAAAATGTAAAAACATTTTTATCTCATGGGCCATGTGAAATCAGACATCAATCAGGTTTGACCCACAGGCTGGAATCCTAGCCTGATGGGAGAGGAAAGGGCCCTGAAGGGCATGGCTGACCGTGGTTTTGCTCTGCCATTCTCTACCAGTGTGGTGGTGAACACCTACCCCACCTATGCAGTGCAGGGGCCCTGATGAGCCCCTGGATGCTGTACTTAAGTCCTTTGTATTCGCAGCTCTTACTGGGTTCCTCAGTGGCTGCACGTGAGGGCTGCCCGATCTTTGCTTTGCTGTTAGTACGTCAACCACAGAGCCCACTTGAGTCGACAAGGCTCCTGAGAGTCTTGTGCACTCAACCTCGGTCTTGAAGTTGTGTCTTTAGGTTAGGTACATGGGTGCTTTCATACCACACGTTCATATTCTCGGATCCAGGTGGCAGAGACTGACTGCTAAAGGGCTTCGTGGAGACCCTGGGCTGAGTGTGAGAAGAACACAAGCCCTCTCCAGACTGGGTGGAGAAGTGGGTGCCTGGGGCACTGAAGTGCGTCTCCAGGAGTCTTTGGTGTTGCCGTGTGCTTTTTCATCATCCCTGGTTCTTATAGGGTTCAGAGGAAGAGGAGGAGGAGGGAGAGTCGAAGGCAGATGACCCCTATGCTAACCTGAGCAAAAAGGAGAAGAAAAAGCTGAAGAAGCAGGTTAGCCTTAGTCTCGGTGGCTCGGGTCGGAGATTTGGTTTCATGTTCCAGTACTGGCCTTGAGAATTGGGAACAGGAGAGCTTTGGGGGACACTTGAAGTAGAGCACCTAGAAGACGGAGGCTACTGACAACACAGAGCTGTGTCCTAACATCAAACCTCTTCCTTCTCAGATGGACTATGAGCGCCAGGTGGCTTCACTGAAAGCAGCTAATGCTGCGGAAAATGACTTCTCCGTGTCCCAGGCAGAGGTGTCCTCCCGCCAGGCCATGTTAGAAAATGCATCTGATATCAAGGTTAAGTCTGAGATCCCCACATCCTCCCTGAGTGCCAACCCAGGAAGGCAGATAAAGGGGCAAGTTCACTAGGAAGAAAGTTCTACTAGCTTGAGCAAGGAGACAGAAAGAGCAGTAGAAACGGGAAGCAGGACAGACAGTCTGGCCCTGGTGGGGATGCAATGGGCTTAGTCACAGCTCCTGTCCTAGAGAGAGACTTCTCACACGTGTCTGTGTGTCTCTCTGTGTCCATGTGCCCTCTTGGCTGCAGCTGGAAAAGTTCAGCATCTCTGCCCACGGCAAGGAGCTGTTTGTCAATGCTGACCTATACATCGTAGCCGGCCGCCGCTACGGGCTGGTGGGGCCCAACGGGTGAGGAGATGGGCAGGATGGGAAAGAAGGATGGCCCTGGGTGGCCAGGTCCTCACAGCTCTCTTCTCCAGCAAGGGCAAGACCACACTTCTGAAGCACATTGCCATCCGTGCCCTGAGCATCCCCCCCAACATTGATGTGCTGCTGTGCGAGCAGGGTGAGGCGGGGGCAGAGCTTGGGGAGCAGGGGATAAATGAGCTGACCGCAAAGCGCCGGGAGGCCAGGCAAGCATGTCTGGTTCTGATGTGGAAAGGGACTCGGTCGGTCTCTGGGCCCTCAGCATCCTGACCCTCCCCCAGAGGTGGTGGCCGATGAGACCCCAGCTGTGCAGGCTGTGCTTCGTGCTGACACTAAGCGCCTAAAGCTGCTGGAGGAGGAGCGGCGGCTTCAGGGACAGCTGGAGCAGGGGGATGACACGGCTGCTGAGAGACTAGAAAAGGTAGAGGAGATGATGCAGGGGACATAGGCTATGACCTGGGGATCCCTGGGCCCTCAGACATGTGTCCTCTTCTCCCCCCTCCCAGGTATATGAGGAATTACGAGCAACTGGTGCGGCAGCTGCAGAGGCCAAGGCCCGGCGAATCCTGGCTGGGTTGGGCTTTGACCCCGAGATGCAGAATCGGCCCACACAGAAGTTCTCAGGGGGCTGGCGCATGCGAGTCTCCTTGGCCAGGTGGGCCCTACCTCACTCCTCCTGGCCGGCAGCGTCCTTTCTGTCTTCCACCTTTCCAAGCTGACTTTCCTCTTCCTCACTGTGTGCTTGGGGAGAACTCGGGTGGCTCTCTCTCCATCTTTCTTCCATCTAATAGAATGAGTCCGTTGAGCTCTGTCCCCCAGAGGCTGCGGCTCTGCCGAGCAGGCTCCTCCTGTCTGACTTGCACTCTCCCCCCCCCGCTAGGGCACTGTTCATGGAGCCCACACTGTTGATGCTGGATGAGCCCACCAACCACCTGGACCTCAACGCTGTCATCTGGCTCAACAAGTGCGGCCTGTAGCCTCGGCCTTTCTGTCATTGGCTCCTAGTCTCCTTCCCTGCCCTCCCCACCCCTGGTCTACGTCCCCCGACTCAGCTTTCACCATCCTGACGCTCCGCATTCTTCTCTAACCTCAGCTACCTTCAGGGCTGGCGGAAGACACTGCTGATCGTCTCTCACGACCAGGGCTTCTTGGACGATGTCTGCACCGATATCATCCACCTGGACGCCCAGAGGCTCCATTACTACAGGGGCAATTACAGTAAGACTGCGGGGATGGGAGCAGGCAGACCCCAGAGGAGCCCAAACACAGGCGCTGACACACTGATAAGCTGTGTCTCCTGGATTTCATACCTGGCTGCCCTCCCCCATGCCCCCTGCCCCTGGTTGTCCCTCCGGGAGAGAGGGGCAACCTTGAAGCCTGTCCACTGTTGCACCCAGTGACCTTCAAGAAGATGTACCAGCAGAAGCAGAAGGAGCTGCTGAAGCAGTACGAGAAGCAGGAGAAGAGGCTGAAGGGGCTGAAGGCTGGGGGCAAGTCCACCAAGCAGGCGGTGAGGCCAGGGGCACCAAGGGCATCTCCCAAGGAGGGGCTGAGCGCCTGTCCATCTCCAAGGGCTTTCCCAGCAGCGTGCAGATTGTGCCCGTCTTCGTTTCCAGGAAAAGCAAACGAAGGAAGCCCTGACTCGAAAGCAGCAGAAATGCCGGCGGAAGAACCAGGACGAGGAGTCACAGGAGGCCCCCGAGCTCCTGAAGCGGCCCAGGGAATACACTGTGCGCTTCACCTTCCCAGACCCACCACCCCTCAGCCCGCCTGTGCTGGGGCTGCATGGTAAGGGACGCAGAGCCCTGTGCACCGCCGAGGGCTCAGCGGGAGCCCAGGGCCAGGCATCTCGGGTGACTGGGAAAACTGTAAGCTGCTGATTTTTCTCAGGTGTGACCTTTGGCTACGAGGGACAGAAGCCACTCTTTAGGAACCTGGATTTTGGCATCGACATGGACTCACGGAGTGAGTTGGTTCTGGGTGACTAGGGTCATGGACAGGAGTCACATAATTGTGGCTACTTGTCTGATCACCTGTCTGTCTTCTTGCAGTCTGCATTGTGGGCCCCAATGGTGTAGGGAAGAGCACACTTCTCCTGCTGCTGACCGGCAAGCTGACACCAGTGAGTCTACCAGAAGGGAGAGGCCCAGCATTCCGAGGCGGTTGAGGGAGGGGTGACGATGACAGGCATTTGGGCTAACCACCTGCACGCACGCACGCGCGCGCACGCGCGCGCACACACACACACACACACACACGTTTTCTTTACACAAGAGATAGGCCTCTTGCAGAAAATGCAGAGATCACACCCAGTGTTTGTGGGTGGCTTTCAGCTCGTACCTGCAGGTGCACATTGTTTTCCTACAGCGTGGACCATCAGGAGCTGCTCTTTAGCCACTGTCCTCCTGTGGAGCAGAGAGAGCTTGTCCTCACACCACAATAGATTTGTTGTTTGTACTGCGGGGACTAGACCAGGGCCCTGTTATGCCCTGTCCCCTGCCATGTTTTACTTCTTATTTTGAGACAGGACCTTGCTAAACTGCCCAGGTGGCCATTGAACTTGCCATCCTCGGCCTCTTAAGTAGCTGGGGTTACAGGCCTGTGTCACCAGACCCAGCTCCACAGCACAGCTTGGCCCCCATCTGGTGTGGAACTGCACGTGGTGCTGTATGAGAAGTTAGATGTCAGCCTCCCCACCCCCCTTAGTCTCCTCTCTCATCCCCTTCCCTCTTCCTCCTGGGTGTACCTCGGTCCAGTTAGAGAATGTCCATACTCTCCTTCATATGCTGACTTGTTCCAGCCCAATTCTGGTATTTGTTTCCCTTAAGAAAACTTTATAGAGGACCGGGCATGGTAATGCACAACTTTAATGCCAGCACTTGGGAGGCAGAGGCAGGCAGATCTCAAGATCATCCTGGTCTATATAGTGAGATCCTGTTCAACCAAGGCTAATAGTGAGACCCCTCTCAGAAGAAAAGTGAGAAGCCGGGTGGTGGTGCCCACCCATCCTCTTAATCATGTGTGCTCATTCCTTGCAGACCAGTGGGGAAATGAGGAAGAACCACCGGCTGGTGAGTTGCAGATTGAAGGGTGGGAATCTGACAGGAAGTGAGATCTGGACTGACCCAACCTTCCTCTCTTGGGCAGAAAATTGGCTTCTTCAACCAGCAGTATGCCGAGCAGCTGCACATGGAGGAGACGCCCACCGAGTACCTGCAGCGCGGCTTCAACCTGCCTTACCAGGATGCCCGAAAGTGCCTGGGCCGCTTCGGCCTGGAGAGTCACGCCCACACCATCCAGATCTGCAAACTCTCCGGTATAAGGGGCTGACCCCCCATCGTCATTCCTGTATGCTTTTCTAGAGACTGGAAGGAGGAGGAAGCAGGCATGGGCAGCCTTCCTGTGCCTGGGCACATCTGTGGGCTCTGCTTTTCACAGGAGGACCAGGTAATAGCGAACCTTTTCCTTTTGCTGCAGGTGGGCAGAAAGCCCGAGTCGTGTTTGCAGAGCTGGCCTGTCGGGAGCCTGATGTCCTCATCTTGGTGAGTGTGCTGAACATGCAGAGGGCGCAAGGTAAGAGCTGGGAATGGGGTCGTCCTGCTCTGCCTAGAACTCTTTCTCCCGCATAGGATGAGCCAACCAATAACTTGGACATAGAGTCTATCGATGCCCTGGGGGAGGCTGTCAATGAGTACAAGGGAGGTAAGTCAGCTCAGACACGGCACAGCCACAGTTCCCTGGGCTGCTCTTTCCTGCTCCAGTTCCTCTTTGTCCTGCCTGATTTTCACCATCTTTCTCCAAAGCTGTGATCGTTGTCAGCCACGATGCCCGACTCATCACAGAAACCAACTGCCAGCTGTGGGTGGTGGAGGAGCAGAGTATCAGCCAAATCGATGGTGACTTTGAGGACTACAAGCGGGAAGTATTGGAGGCCCTGGGTGAAGTCATGGTCAACCGACCTCGAGAGTGAGAGTCCTGCTGCCAGCCGTCCTGCCGTCCCCATCTCCATCTGGAAGCCTGCCTGTGTCTGCCGCTGACCAGCCACATGGCCTCGGAGAAGGAGCATTGCCTTCGTGTGTGTGACAGGACCTGTGTGGATTGTGTCCTTCCCCTGAAGGACTGTGTTCTCTTTTCACCTGACTAAGCTGACCCTTGCTGTGGTGGGATCCTCTCCAGCCAAGTTAAGGGGACCTCTTGTCTCGAGACTCATCACTTAGAACTGATGTGGTCTGCCCTAAGGCTTCAGGCCCCTCTCCCTGCTCTCTCTTGGAGGGGTGCTATTCCTGGTGGACTAAGTGCTGAGTTACTGACACAAACCTACACTGACCTCAGAGCTGAAGGCCAGTGTCTGAGGCCCGTGCTGTTAACAGCCCAATGGCTGGTATCCATGGTCACTTGTCTGGCAGGGACTTGAGGACAGGAAAGGGAAGCTGCTGAACTTGAATCTCCTTCACGAGGGAGGAAATAAAAGAGTTGTTGCCACCCTGTACCTGTCCAGAGTCCTGGGAATTGGAGCTGCTGTCAGTTTAGATGGTTTTATGGTTTCCTCGCCTTTTGGTGTGTTCCCTCCTCCCCTAGCACAGATGGTCCAGCTCCCTGGCTTCTGCAGTTGACTGGTGCTTGCCCTCCCCTAGGCCTCAGACAAGGACAAGGGATTGGTCCTTTCATCTTGGACACCAACCAACCATGGCCGTCAGTGAGGCGGTTAGGGACCCAGAACACCAACCCTCTACAGATCATCCAGCCAAGCTGTGATGGGGGTACTGGGGTACACCTGTAATCCCAGAACTCAGGAGGCAGAGGAAGGGTCAGGAGTTCAAGGTTATTGTTGGTTACTTGGTGAGTAGCCAAGGCTGGGCTGCACGAGCCCCTGCCTAAAAATAAAACCAACCACAGGGCTGTGGAGGACATAGGGAAAAGACAAGATTGATTTTCACGAATGGTCAGAGGGAACTTGAAAAATAAGGCACAAACTTTTACAAAATAATACCATCAATTGCCAGATACAAAATATTTTTGGGTAAAAATATTGCCACATGCTGAAAGAGGACAATCGTCCAGAGCTATGTTGTTTGGCAGTGAGAGCCTTCACAGTGAGGATGTTTCAGCAGGAAGAGCCCCATGCCTGGGAGGAACTGGGAGCCCGTGAGCATGAGCGGCTGTTGGGACACTTTTCTTAGTTGCAGTGTGGAGTCTTGAGTGGAAGGTGGACCAGGCCTGGTGGGCAGGGGGACCCTGTTTTGTCCTGGGGTTGAGGTAACTGGGTCTTCAGCTGTTCGGACAGAAACAAAAATATAGGTGGGCTAGATGAGGGTGCTGGGCAGAGGCTGGTGGTAACGTGCATCCAGTTCCATTGAGTCTTAAAGAATTCGACATCCAGTTTGGAGAAATTATTTTTCCAATCAAATGAACTAAGTAACTGGGCCTTGGGTACAAGTCCAAGGGTTCAGTGTGGAGACAGTTTCAGTTAGGGACTTGAGGTGCATCCCTCTGAAGGAATCTGAGAGGGATGTCAAGATTGGTGCTGCACTCCTTAAGTACATACATCAGGGACTGAGAACTGGTGTCAAGTCCATTTACTGCCAGCTCCTTGGTGGCCATCAGGTGTCCACCTCAGGATCGTTACACAACTGGCCAGTGTAGTATGTATTTCACGTTACACTTCACATTTTAAATTTTCACTTCATTAGTTTAGTGAAACAGTGCATAAAATATACGGGATCGATCTGAGGGCTGGAGAGATGGCTTAGTGGTTAAGAGCACTGACTGCTCTTGCAGAGGACCCAGGTTCGATTCCCAGCACCCACATGGCGGCTACAAACTGTCCTTAACTCCAGTTCCAGGGGAATCCAAAGCCCTCTTCTGACGTCTGAGGCATTGCACTCACATACATGCAGGCAATATACTCATACACATAAAATTAAAATACTAAAAAAAAAATACACACACACAGGATTGGGGCTAGAGAGATGGCTCAGCAGTTAAGAACATGACTCTTCTTGCAGAAGACCCGGGTTCAAATCCTAGCACCCACATCACATGGCAGCTGACAACTGTCCGTAACTAGTTCCAGGGGATCCAATAGCCTCTTCTGTCCTCCATGGGCATTGCACGACATGGGTGCACTTACCTATGTGCAGGCAGTACATGCATATGTATTGATCATATGTATATGATCATTATTTAGTGAATACCAGAAATTTATATTTGAAGGTGTGTTTCGCTTTTTGAACAGTCTCACAAAGCCTGGGCAGAGCTGGAACTCACCATGTGGCTTGGAGGGGGACAGGTATGACCTTGAATTCCTGAACCTCCTGCCTCCATCTCCCAACTCCTGGAGTTATGGCTTTTGCCACCAGCCCAGTGATTTCAGGTTTTTAGTTTTTGTCTTTTTTTTTTTTAATTTAAGGGGTAGCCAGACGTGGTGGCGCACACCTTTAATCCCAGCACTCTGGAGGCAGAGACAGGGTGGATCTCTGTGAGTTCAAGGCCAGCCTGGTCTACATACTCAATTCAAGGTCAGCTGGGGCTACAGGGAGACCCTGTTTCAAAAACAACAATATAACAGTGTTGATTTGGTTTTCAAGTGAAAATAAATTGGGGGCAGGGGGTAGGATTCATTGTCTCTCTCCTGGAAGCTTTGATACCTGAAAATAGCTGTTTGCTGAGCTTTTGTAAGTGTCGAGCTAATGCTAGTTGTACTGGGCCAAGATGGTAGGACTTGATTTTCTGGCCTTAGATCCTCTGGCTAGGAGCAGGAAGGGGAGGTGTAGAATGATGGAGACTCAGAACTGGATCTGTGCCCTGGGCACCTGGGGGATAGTTCAGAAGAAAGCAGGGTCTAGTTTCTTTCCTGTTCCTGTGGTAAAATACCCCGACAGAAACGAGGAGAATGGGGATTTATCTTAGGTCACAGTTCCAGGTTACAGTCCATCCCGGTAGGGGAATCAAAGTTTCAGGAGCTTGGGGCAGTTGGTCATATTAACTACACAGAACAAGGTGGAAAGGGGCACACACACCAGTGCTCAGCTGGCTTTCAGCGCCTACATGGTGCAGAGTCCCCGGCCTAGAGGATGCTCCCACCTGCAAGGCTCAGCTGTTCCTATGTCAGCATAATCAAGATAATCCCCCACAGACCACAGGTAGGCAGGTGCTCTCCCAGGTGACTGTAACTTTTGTCTAGTTGACCACACTAACCATCACACATGAAAAGGGTGTGTTCCAGGGCCTGGGGTCCGGTAGAAGCAGCTATGAGGAAAAAACAGACGAGCAGAGAGATGCTTGCAGGGCTTTGTGGAGAAACCACCCTGGTGTCGGTGGGTGTGGGGGGGGCTCCTACATGTGTGTAGCCCATTCTTGAGAGGTAAAAAGAAAAAATATTAATGTACTCCTTTGTGTCGGGGAAGGTGGACATCAGTGGTCCTCTGTGCATGCGTCAGTCTGAGAAGAACACAGGTGTACTGTTTTGTCACTGTCTGCCTTCATCCCTTTAGACAGTCTCTCACTGAAACTGGAGCTAGGCTGGAAGCAGCATGTACCACCTCCCGAGCTCCAGCACTAAACTGCACAAGTGCTCACCTGGCCACATGCAGCTTTTTTTTGGGGTGGGGGGTCTTTTTAAGACAGGGTCTCCCTGCTGTAGCCCCAGCTGGGATTAAAGGCGTGTTGCTGGGGCTGGAGAGATGGCTCAGTGGTTAAGAACACTGGTTCTTGCAGAAGACCTGGGTTTGAATCCAAGAACCCACATAACATGACAGTTAACAACTGTCCATAACTACAGTTCTAGGGGAATCCGAAGCCCTTCTCTGACCTCTGCAGGCATTGTACAACACGGGTGCACTCACATACATGCAGGCAATACACTCATACACATAAAAAAAAAAAAAAAGCCAGGCATGGTGGTGCACGCCTTTAATCCCAGCACTCGGGAGGCAGAGGCAGGTGGATCTCTGTGAGTTCAAGGCCAGCCTGGTCTACAGAGTGAGTTCCAGGAACCTGGGGCTACAGGGAGACCCTGTCTCAAAAAGACCAAAATGAATGAATGAATGAATGAATGAATAAATAATAGAGTGTAAATAAATAAATAATAGAGTGCTTGCATGCAGAGCAGCAGCTGCGGTGCCTGCAAACCTGCTGGGAATGCAGGCCTAGGGTTTCTGTGGGCCTCAGATGATTCTCATGGCAGTGGACAGGATCATCATTCCCACGCTTCAGGGAACCCCAGCACCCTCCTTCCCAACACGGTGCCCTTTGTGCTGTAGAGTGTATTGCCTACATGTGTGTAAGTGTATCCGTGTTACGAAATGCCTGAGGAGGTCAGAAGAGGGCATCAGATCCCCTGGAACTGGAGTGCTGCCATGTGGGTGCTGGGAACTGACCCTGGGTCCTCTGCAAGAGCAGCCAATGCTCTTTACCACTGAGCCATCTCTCCAGCCCCCATTTTTATCTATTTTTAATGTGTTTTGCTTGTATGTATGCACCATATACATGCAATGTTTGCAGAGGTCAGAAGTGTGCATTGGATCCCCTGGGACTGGAGTTTCAGTTGTCAGCTGCTATGTGGGTCCTGGGAACTGAACCCAGTTCTTCTGCTAGAGCAGTGTTCTTGACCACGGAGCCATCTCTCTAGATCCCCACCTTTTCTTTTTTTTTTTTCTTTTGGTCTTTTTGAGACAGGGTCTCCCTGTAGCCTCAGCTGACCTGGAACTCACTCTGTAGACCAGGCTGGCCTCGAATTCAAGAGATCCACCTGTCTCTGCCTCCAGAGTGCTGGGATTAAAGGCATGCGCCATCACACCGGGCTAGCTTTTCTTTCTTTAAAAGCAAGAGTAGAGGGTGTTAAGATGGCCCAGTGGTCTAAGACACCACAAACTCAAGATTCTTGGTAGGTTGACCAGGCTCCAGGGGAAGAACCACACCAAAGCCAAAGGCATTTGGGAAGATAAATCTGACCCTACAGGCCTATATGATTTATACATATATATACACACACACACACATTGAGGATAGACAAGGAAAGGCTCTCAATATGATAAAAATATATTGTATGAAATTCACAAAAAAAGGAAAAAAAAAGTCAAAACACAAGGGGCTTAAATAAGCTGCTTCTCTCTCCACTGTTTATTATTAATGTACAAAATATACAAAACCAAAAGAAAAAAACTCATCCTCAAATCCATTGTGGTTCTAACCCAAGACCCTGCACAAAACCAACCCACTGTTTTCATAGAAAACAACTGATGCCAAGACAGGTGAGGGAGCAGACTGGGAAAGGGCATCCTGCTCAGTCTGCCCAGGAAGCAGGGAGGTGGGTCCAAGAGGCTGACAGGGTGAGTGGCCGGAAGCCTCACACTGACAGGGTTCCATGTGCGGGAAGGGGCAAGCCAACTCCCAAAGGCAGTGCATGTAGTGTGATGTTGGGCCCTGTGCACTGGGCTTAAGTTGATGAAAAGCTGGTCTCACTGAAGTGTTTAATGAAGTGTCTAGAATGGCTGTAGACCACGGTGGACTAACACTACAGGCCTCATGTCTGCCAGCTAAACTTCCTCTGGTTACAGACACAATGTACTGTCACTGAACCTAGCAGGCCCACAGTGACTGGGTGCTAACAGCTTCAGTCTTCTTGAGTGGGGTAGGAGCGGGGGTGGTGTGTTCCAGAACTCAATTCCAGCCAGCTTGAGCCCTCTCAGTGCAGTGGGATATGCAGTATCCCTCACCACCCCTTACCCCGTGGGGTTAAGGAACTTGGCTTGGACGGTTTCCAAAGTGCAGCTGACCCAGTCTGACCCCTGTGCATATGGAGAGCAAGGTCCCCAGGTGACAGCTTTAGGTTCTCAGGCACCAGGGCTAATACTGAAGGGGTTGGGGGCACAGGGCAAATCTCCTCACAAAGTGAAGCCAGCATCTCCTCAGCAGTCCAGCACTGTAGAGTGTGTCCAGTCTCCTCCCCAGACTGGAGGGAAGTATGTACATCAATGCGCACCAGTGATCAGAAACCCCCAGGGACCCAACCAGGTGGGTCTAAGGGGGCCGAACTCCTCATCAGCTGGGGAAAAGGGGAAACGGGCCTCACAGAAGCCATAAGTGGAAGGAGGAAGGCTGCAAGCCCAAGGGTGCAGGCGAGCAGGCGGGCGGTCCCTAGGGCAGCGGAGGCCCGTTGACCCCCGGGTGGTAGAAGGCACAGTTGTTCTCATAGCGGCAGTTGCCCTTCATCATGAAATGTCGGCAGACAGGGCGTTTTGACATGTCTGTGGGAGGAAGGCAGAATGGTGAGAGGGGGGCTGAGAGCACTGGCCCCCACCACCCTGGGGCATCTGAGTATTCTCAGAGACAGTGTCTTGGGTTTGTGGTAAAGACAGGAGGGCAGTAACTGCCAGAGAAGCCAAGGAGACGTGAGCCTCAGCGCTCCCTCTCTCCTCCTCTGCTCCGCTCCCCAAAAGCTGGTGTGGGGCAGGGGGCGTCCTCACCTCCTCCATGACTATGGCCTCCATCGTGCCCTCGGTGGCCCCCTCCCCCATGGCCATCATGGCCACGGTGCTCGTGAGGTGGCGGTCCGCGGTGATCATGGCCTCGATGACTGGGGCCATCATGTGGTCGGTGGCCATGGGGTCCCCCATGTCCAGGGCCTTCATGGGAACGATGTCCACCACTTCCACCAGGGCCTTCATGGGGGCGATGTCCACTGCCCATTCCCCCACCGGGACCTTCATGGGGACGATGTCCACCACCAGAGCCCATTCCTCCTCCTGGGCCTTCATGAGGGCGATGTCCACTGCCCATCCCTCCACCAGGACCTTCGTGGGGGCGATGTCCACTGCCGCTGCCCATGCCTCCACCAGGTCCATCATGAGGGCGATGCCCACCACCTCCAACCATGCCTCCACCAGGGCCCCCTCGTCCATTTGGGGGCCCTCCTCCAGAGCGACCTCCTCTGGCTCCTCGGAATGGAGGGGGTGGTGGCTCATTTCCTCCCCGACCACCTCGGCCTCTGTGATATGGTCCAGGTCCAGGGCCCGGACCCCCTCGCATTGGGCCACTCCTCATGGGGTCACCTGGGCCATCCCAGAAGGGATCACCACCCCCTCGAGGAGGGGGTGGGGGACCCAGGAGACGTGGACCTACTGGTCCACCAGGGCCTCCATGGGGACCTATTAGAAGAAAACAGTAACAGCATCAGTTGCCTGTCTAGAGTCTAGCACAGCCACCTCCCAACCTGACCCCGGCCCACTTTCTGTTCCTCCCAGATGCTGCCAGGCTGAAATGGAGTAAGTCCACCAAATCCCTCTCACTTACCTGGCATGGGTCCTCCAGGCCCAGGGGGGAAGTGCTGCATGCCCTTGGGGCCCCCGGGGCCTCCTGGTGGGAAGCCATTGGCTACTGGACCAGGACCTAGGAGTCCATGCGGCACTGTTAATCAAACAGAAATAAAATAGAAGATTCTTAAAAAAAAAAAAACAGCAGGGTTTCCCACATAGG